CCTGGGGGTGGACACGGCCTGAGCCCCGTCCCTGAGCCCCGCCGCCCGCACCCACGAGGCCCGGCACAGCCGACTCCTGGGGGTGGACACGGCCTGAGCCCCAGCCCTGAGCCCAGCCGCCCGCACCGACAAGGCCCGGCCGGCACTCACCACGCGGTACCGCTGCAGAGTCTGCGCCTCGCGCTGCAGCCAGGCCTCCAGCGTCGCCTGCTTCTGTTGCAGGGCCGGCTCCCGGCTCAGCCGCTCCTGGGGGCTCAGCTGGGCCAGCTGCGCAAATTGGGCTGGGGGGACGGGGCCACTGTGTCACACACATGCCAGGGGCCAGAGAGCCCGGTCACTGCTGTGCAGCCACACAAGAGGGCTGGACGCTGCGTCCTCGGCCAGCCAGACTGCCATGGTCTCCCTGCTGAACCCCCTCCATCCACATGCTGCCCGCTGGCTCCCTGAAGGGTGTCCAGCTGGCCCTGACTGTGGGTGACCTGCGTGGCCAGCTCCAGCCAGGTGAACTCACACCCCACTAGCTCTCCCATGCCTCAGTCTCCCCACATGTGAACTGAGGGAGTCCTGTCCTGTGGCTCCCGTGGAGGTTAAGTCACCGAGCACGGAAGATGCCAGGGCACCGCCTGGCATGTGCTCAGTGCCCGTGGGTCCCCGCACATCCACCCGTCAGCAGCACAGAACACAGGAGAATCATCGCCCGAGACACCACGCTTCTGAGTCAGTCTGGGGTGGCTAACGACGGAGACCCGAGGCTCAGTGCTGCTCACGCATACGTACGGGAACGCATGCACTCTGCTCTCTGGAGAGGCCCGTCCTGCTGCTCCAGGCCAGGCGGGGCCCCAGGGAGGAACCCGGTCCTGTTGGGCCGGCCCCGAGCCCCCGCGCCCCACGGCCCAGCTCACCCTGGACTCGCAGGCTCTCCTGGTACTGGATGATGAAGTACTCCTGCGCCTGCTGCAGCTTCTTCAGCTCATTCTCCGTGTCCTGCGTCACCAGCCGCAGCTCCTCGAACGTCTGGCTGATCTGCAGGTGCTTCTGAGACAGGGTGTCAGGGTGGCTTCTGGGCGGGGAGCTGCCCTGGGGACAGCAGGGACAGTGTGGTTCCGATCCTGAGGACGCTGGTGCCACGCCCCACTCTGGGGCGCAGGCAGGGCTGAGGGGCGGGGCTGGTCACCGTCGCGCTGGGGGTGGACGGTGGCCAGATGGCTAGCTCAAGAGCACATGGCACCTCGAGACCAGAATGTCCTGTTTCAGCTCTGAGTGACATTGCAGTGCTTCAGACAGGGCCCCCACTGCTGCAGAGGGGGCTCAGAGCAGGCTGGGCATCCTCCGGTTCTCCTTCTGCAGAGCTCACCCTGGCCGCACTCTTGCTCAGGGACCCAGGGTCATGGGCTTGGTAAAGCCGGGGGTGCAGTGAGGACTGTCGCCCCCTTGTCCTCGTCCTACATCTCCCTGCGACGGGGTCATGTGCCTGTCATGGTTTGGGCTGACCCCGTCAGGCACCCTGAAGGCCTCCCAAGGGCTTCTGGGGCTGGCATGGTACACAAGGCTAGTGTGGACCCGGCCCGACCCCATCATTCAGCTCTGCTCTGAGGGGACAAGAAGTCTCTCTTGAGAACCCAAGCTGTGCTCATGCTGTGCCCAAGCACCGTGCCATCGAGTTAAACGGTTTTGTTGTGTGTTTGAGACAGGATCTTCTATGCAGCCAAGGCTGTTCGAACTCTCAGCGACCCTCTCACCTCAGCCTCCAGAGGGCTGGGCTGACGGATGTGCGCCACCAGCCCGGCGAGGGGTTGTTTTATGCGGCACCCATTCACTTGGTTGTGTGGCTATAACGCCCACGAGAGTTAAGCCCACTTGTTGCAAATCTCTAAGGGGACACCGATGGGCGCACAGCCTGGCACCAAGACAGGGCTGAGACAGGACCCACCCGCCCACCCTGCCCCACGCCCGGGCCACTCACGTTGGTGGCCTCACGGACCAGCCGCTGCTCGTTGAACAGGATGTGCCGGATGCAGCGGACCAGCTCCAGGGGGCAGCGGTCATAGGTGCTCTGAAAGACCACAGCCACCGCAGTGTCACAGCTGAGGTGACAGCAGGTGACCTGTGCCCCCTGTGCCCAGGAGGACACAGTGCTCGCTGTGTGCCTGGCATTCTTTGTTTTGATTTTTGCTTTCTGAGACAGGGCCTCGCTATTTGCCTAGGCTGGCCTCAAACTCATGGCGATCCTCCTGCCTCAGCCTCCAAGCACTGGGAAGACAGGTGTGCACCACCTTGCCCAGCACTACTAGTTTATCAAAAAGAATGGTGTGTCGTTCTGCTGCCTCCTTTTGGTCAGAATCTTTCAGTTCATGTCTTGCACTCTGACTATAACGACATCCAGTGGATTAACTATGATCATTCGTTATTATCTTATTATGAAATGTTCTTTTTCCTTTCACAAAAGCTTCTGACTGGGAGCGTGCAGTGTGAGACTAACCATGGAGAAGCCAAGCAAAGATGAACAGCTGGCCGCGGAGTGCTCAGGTGAGGCCGCGCCGAGTGCTGGCCTCACACGCAGGGCCCTGGCCGTGTGCCACACAGCACTGTGGCGCTGCCCCCGGGCACGCATGTGTGCAGGGAGTAGAAACTAAGGGGCTGCCAGGTGCGGAGGCCCAGCCTGCCATCCCAGCACTTGGGAGGCTGAGGCAGGAGGATCGCCGAGTTTGAAGCCAGCCTGGGCTATACAGTGAGACCCTATTTCAAAAATCATGGGCCGGCGAGACAGCTTAGCGGTCTAAAGTGCCTGCTTAGGCATTAGGCAAGATGCAGGGACCTTGGTTTGATCCCCAGTACCACATGCTGCACCAGCCCTGGCCCTGGGGTGGGCTGAGCTGGCCACAAAAACAAAAAAAAAGCAACAGTAGGACAAAGCTGGGCTTGATGGAAGTGCCTAGAATCTACCTACGCAGAGGCTGAAGGAGAGGATCGCTCAGACCCAGAAGTTTACAGAGAGCTCATCTCAAGAACCGCTAAGTTGGGGGCCTGCCCATTAGCTCAGTTGTTTAAGTGCCTGCTTAAACAAAGCAGTCAGCCTCAGGGTGCGGCGGTTCGCATCCCCTGTTCCTCAGGCCTTACCACACACAGGCCCTGAAGGCAATCTGAGCCAGCACCTCCCCTACCCCCTCGTTAGGCCGGTGAGATAGCTCAGCAGACTAAGTGCCTGCTTTGACAAGTGCAGGGACTGGGGTTCGATCCCTGGCCCTGGCCCTGGGCACGCTGAGCCCAGCAACAAATCTGGGCCTGGTGACGCAGGTCTGGAATCTCAGTGCTGGGGAGGCTGAAAACAGGAGGATCACTATGAGACCGAGCTATGTAATGAGACCCTGTATCAAATACATGAAAAAAAAAAGACGGGTAAAAGCAAAGTATTCTAAACCACCAATACCAAGGCACATGTGGTACCACATGCCTATAACCCCAGGATGCTAGGAGGCTGAGGCAGGAGCATTGCTGTGAGTTCGGGGCCAGCTGGGCTAGTTAGTGAGAGCCTGTCTCAAAAACAAGCACACAAATAAGTAATATCAGTGACAGAGGAAGGTTACGAAATAGCTCCAGATTAACAGAAATTAAAGAGAGGAGACCCATGCCACCTGGGGGCGGGCAGGCCCCACAGGAGCTTCGGACTCGCTGACAGATAGGACGCCTCGCAGCGCTGAGCCAGCAGGGGCTGACACAAAGCTGAGTCTACTAAGGGCTGAAGCGTCAGCCCTGGGATGCTCCGCGCCTTTCTCTTCTGCAGAAAGGGCCGGGTGGAGCATCTCTGTGCCCGGTACGCGGGATAGCTAAGAAACGAGTGCACGAGCGCATGAGCGTGTGTGCAAGCCTGTGCACACGTGTGTGCACCCAGTGTGTGTGCGGGCATGGGGGTGATGCTGACAGCAGGTTCCTCCAGGCATATGGGTTTCCTTTTACTGGGTTTTTGTTGAGACAAGGTCTCGCCATGCAGCCCAGGCTGGCCCTGAATTCTCAGCGATCCTCCTGCCTCGGCCTCCCGAGTGCTGGGGTGACAGGCCTGCGCCACCATCCCTGGAGACAGCCACAACCCCAGAAGCAAGTCATCATAGCCCTGCATGTGCCAGAGCCAGGCCAAGCAGGGCCCAGCCGCTCTCTCAGGGCCTCAGGCTGGGCGACAGAAGCGCCCTGCGGAGCCTGGGCCCAGCCCCCACCCGCCCGCGCACCTGCAGCTGCGTGGCATAGTGGCCCAGCTTGATCTTCAGCAGGAACCCGTCCTCCCCCACCTGGTGCTCCGCCTTCCGCTGCAGCTCCTGCACCAGGCCCTCCAGGAGCTGGGCGGCCTTAATGTTCTCCTGTGGATTATCAAGATCTATTGAGTCCCTAGGGGAAAAAAATTACATGACATGTACACATGCGACTCAGGGACGGCGCCACGCAGCGCCCGCGGCACGCGCCAACCCGCACCAGGGTGACGGAACCGGGCAGAGCCCAGGCCCGGAGCGTGAGCTCAGCTCTTTGCCCTAAGAAAATCAAAGCTGTAAAATATCCATGTTTTCTTTAATATCAACATAAATACTCTTTTTTTTTTTCTTTTTAGCACTCACTAAGAAGCAAGACTACCTGGAAAAGCCACTCCATGCAGGACTGCTGCACTGCTTGTGCTATGAGTCAGGGTGGCTGCGGAGCCCAGGCTGGCCTTGACCTTGCAGCCATCCTCCTGGCTCAGTCTCCGGAGGCCTGGGATGACAGGCGGGTGTCACCACACCTGCCCTTGTTTGTAAAGCAGGGGTCTTGCCCGGCTGTGCAGGCTGCTCCCAAGTGACCCCCTCTCCCTGAGTCTCCCAAGCACTGTGGGCCCCGCACTGAATGGAAACACACTTTTACGTCAGCGCTGGGGCCGGGCAGGTGTCACAGGCTTCTAATCTCAGCCTAGGGAGGCCGAGGCAGGTGGACTGAGAGTTAGAGGCCAGCCTGGACTAGAGGCTGAGACCCTGTCTCAAAAAAAGGAAAGACAGGGCTGAGGAGATGGCTCAGTAGAATAAGCGTTTGTCTGGCAAGCGCAAGGGCCTGAGTTCAATCCCCAGTTCCATTAAAAAAAAAAAAAAAAAAAATGGGAAAGACAATTTTAGGGCCTGGCCGCTGACGGGAAGCCCTGTGCCCCTGGGCCACACCCCAGCCTCTGAGCGATCCTGAGCCCCCGACACTCTGCACTGGTGCTTTTCTCGGTCCTCTGAACATTAAAGCCAAAAAGAAGTTGAAAAGGGGACCGGCTGCCCCGACATCATGAAGTAAGGTCTGCTCCACTGCCAAGGACACCACCCAGCGGGCTGCAGGCTTCTGACTGGAAATCCACCCACACGCGACAGCTGTCCTGGCCCTCAAGAGCAGCCCAGTGATGCCCGGCTGGGGTACGAGGAGCCACCGAGGAGCCACCGTGGTCCCCTGTGGAGGCCTGCAGCTCACGCAGCAGGTGTGGAAACAGCTGCTGGCGGGAAAGAGCAGGGCCGGGCGGCTCGGCGCCTACTGGCTCCTCAGCCCCACAAACAAAGTAAAACCAGAACACACAGCTGTGCCGCCAGCTGGCCGCGCCGCCCCAGGCCCTGCAGTCAGCAAGCAGGGAATTAAAATGTAAGTGTTGCTTTGCCTGGCACGGCAGCACATGCCTGTCCCACCAGCACGCGGAGGCTGAGGCGGGAGGAAGGCTGAGGCTGCGAGGTCAAGGCCCAGCACAGCCCTCTGTCAAGCCTCCCCCCACAGCAATGAAAATAAAGGTGCGAAACCCTTGTTCACCTACCAGGCCTGGCTCTCTATCCACTGGGACAGGTAATGTCGCACCTCGATGGGGAAGTGCTGGCCATACAGGGCCTGCATCTGGTGCAGCGCGTCGCCCTGCAGCTGCTGGGCCTGGATCCACACAGCCATGGCTCACGACCTGCTCGACAAACATCCAGCACGGGTGATTCGCTTTTCCAGTCTCCTTTAACCCGCGAGAATCACTAATCACACAGTTTAAAAGAAAAGGCTGTTATCTCTTTTGGTGGACTGAAGATCTCTCCCTTGCTCTCTCATCTGTACCTCTGTCTGTCTGTCTGTCTTTCTATCTGTTTATCTGTGTTGATTTATTTATTCCTGAGACAGGGTCTCACTGTACCCTACAGGCTGCCCCTGAACTCACTATGCAGCTCAGGCGGGCCTTGAACTTGTGGTCATCTTCCTGCCTCAGCCTCCCAAGTTGGGGAGCAGCAGGTGTCTGCCGCCACACCAGCTCCAGACCAGATGAGCTCCGCAGTACTTCCGTGATGCCGACACTCGGTGTGGCCCCGGGAAAGAGCTGGCTGGCCCGCGAGCTGTGACCCTCAGGGCCCTGGGGTTCTTCGTGCCAAAGCACAAAACTGCCACCGCAGATCCACCCTTTACTTTTGTGCAGAAGGGTCTGCGGCAGCCCCGTGTGGCGGCGCCTGCCTGAGATCCCAGCACTCGGAGGTCGAGGCTGGAAGAACCCGTGCGTTCAAGGCCACCCTGGCTACACAGCGAGACCCTGTCTCAAACAAAACAAAAGAATACAGAAGAGCACACCTCTAAAGCACTGAGCGCGCTCGGCAGCTACTGAAGCAGCTGCTGCTGGAGCCAAGGAGCCCCCAGGGCCACTTGCTGAGTGACCGCAGGGGACCTGGCACTTGCCCCCAGTGTTCTCACCTCCAGGCCTTCCTCCCCAGCAGGCGTTGGAGGCCCGCAGGGCCAGGGCGGGAGGTGGCTGCACTCCTGCCGCTGCCTGAGCCTCCACCCCGGGCCCTGGGGTCAGGAGGGCGGCCCAGTCCCACCCCAGCCCCGCTGTGGCTTGCGCTTGCACAACTCCCAGAAGATCTGTCACAGTCCGGCCCTGCCACTTGGACCCGGGCCTTGTTGACAACCAGCGGCCGCACACATGTGTCAGGAACACAGCCGCAGCCTGATCGAGTGACGCGAGCTATTTCTGGGCCGAGCCAGGCCCAGTAAGTGGGGGGGGGGCGGGGCAGAGCCAGTTTTAGCCTGGGATGAGGCCTCCGGACACTTGGGCGGCAGCACTGGCTCATTTAGGGCTTCTGAATGCACTTTAAGGCTGGGACCACCACAAGACCCCCAGGATGTCCAGCTCCAGCGGCATGGACAGAGCTCTTCCCAGTAGCAACTGCACTTTACAGCCTGGCCCTGCGCCCCAGAAGACGCTGTATTACACTGTACTTTTTTAATTGAATGAGTCGTATCCCATGACCAAGAAACCAGACAAGTAGCCAACAAATTGTGATTTTTCCCTTTTGTTTTGTTTTTTTTGGAGACGGTCTTGCTATATGGCCCTGGCTGGCCTTGAACTTGTGGCGATCCTCCCGCCTCAGCCTCCCGGGGCGGGGATTGCAGGTGTGTGCCACCAAGTCTCAGCCATATGTTTCCTCACTGACCTCGCACGAGCGAGAACCCACCAGAACTCGGTTCTCTCTCCCCCCGCCCCCCTCAGGTCTGCGGCAGTGGCTGGCTGTTAGACGTCACATTGTGACAAGGTTTGCCAGAAGCAGCGGGTTCTTTTTTGAGTTCTCCCGGAACAAGACTCAGCATGAACCCCTCGGGAGTGAGCACGGTCCCGGGCCCCAGCGCCAGGCTCGGGCCCATCTCGGTGCGCGTGCACGGATGGCGACCTTCCCGGTCCTTAGCCATGCACCGGCCGGGACGGTTTTCCTCTTCCTCTGCTTTGGTTTATCTCCCCACTGAGCCCTCAGAGCAAGGAGCAGACAAGGACAGCTTAACTCAGAAATGTGTCCCCGGGACCAGCGCAGTGGCTCGTCATGGCCAGTGCTCCATAAATATTTGCTGAGTGAATGAACACATCAATCGATACGCCATGTCCCAAGGGCCCGGGGCACCCTGAGTCCTGG